GAACATGATTGTACAACAGGATTCATGACTAGCACCCAAATTGGTCGATTTCGTAGAGTCCACATTTTTACCCTCGAAATTCGTTCTCGCAAGAGTGACACAAAAACGCCCAGTTTTAATTTTTAAAGGACGGTTTAAAGGATGACCTGGGCGTTTATATCCAACGTTTAAATTTCCAATTAACCTAGTTTCATTTAAACATGTGTTGTAACCTAAAATTGATGCATGCTAGAATGTAATGTCCTTTATAATATGCACGATTCTTGATATACGATTTCATGGGGGGGGGGGGCATGATCATATGCAGTATGGGCTACCCGCTGGCAACCAATGTCTGGTATGTAGCAAGGGAGGGCCGTTGTCCGACCGTACTGTACATGAGTTCATAAGTAGGTCAGCTGTTGCAACGAGCAAATCTGATTGGACAGAATTTGTGTCAGTTCATATTTGGAGGTGTCCTGAATACTTCACCATAATAAATGTGAACTCGGTTTGCCAGGGTAGTCTGACTACGCACGCGATGAGGACTACTCTGTCAATCAAGGGCAGTTTAAGCTGGTAGTCCGGTCGCACAACACAATTGATGCATGACATTGTTCACATTTCGGTTTATATGGCGACCAACCCCGACATGGCGTCTTTTTCAGACATCTTTCCTCATTTGGATGCGTCATTTTGTTAAGTTTTTCATGTGTATGATTCCTGACAATTCTTGTTCTTGAAGTAGTTCATCATTCAAATTACCTCAAAGTGTATTTTTTTCATAAAAAGCACTTAATATGCAAATAGTAATCATTTCCTCGTGAAGTGTAAGTACTTTTGCTTAAACGGGCACGAATTTACCTATTCGAAAATACTTGACGCTGTTCATGCGAGCACAAAACCTTATGTCGGAGGCATTGGGATGGGGGAATCAATTAGATTTTTTAAAAGAAAAACTGACCAAATGTGTGTATGTCTAAACAAAATAATATTAAAAATTGAGGTGGAAATGAGTTTTAGATTAATCCCGATAAGTCAAACTTCAAATGAACAGGTTCAAAATTTAATAAGCAGAGTTTTGAGTTAAGCAGGGTAACGTTGTTTGTCATTTGTTATACTGTTGAGTAGAATGGAGTCATTGTTTGACTTAACAGTTGTTTTAAGTTATCAGAGTTTGACAAATCGACATTTCACTTTATTTCTACACACAGAAAAACACGTCCAGGGGTAAGTTCTCCTAACCGCTGTGTCACCGTAAGATGACCTCATTAGGCGCCAAAATAACAGAGAACTTGACCAACCTGCGAAATGCGTGGTATGTATCATTGGTGACGTAGCGCAGTCCGTGGAAAGTAGAGTTATCCCCGTACTCCTTCAAACTCGCTTGCAGTATTTTCCTGCAAGTCTTGCCTTTCGATTTCCTCGCCCGTTTGCCTCCGCGAGACACCCCGGTTCCCGGTCGCCTCTTCCTTGTCCCATCTTCGAGAACATCCTCCTCCATGTCCAAAGAAAGTTCGGCTGGCTCTCCCAAACTCATTTGCGGCAGTACGAGGACATGCAGATAGACATTAATGTGTGTTAAACAGTCTGAATTCAACCTCAATACCCCTCAATGGTCTGAGGACGACCGGCGCATCTTTGTCTTTATGACCTCTCGGGCAAGTTCAGCCTGTATTGAAACCCACACGCGTAAGCTTTTGGGTTTCGCATACACGTACTCTGCAGCTTGACTAACATTACATCACCACCAGTCTCCAAATCTAGCTATGGGACGTTGAGCCACCCGCACCAACCGATCAGTCGAGGTGTGCCACAGGGCAGGGCCTGACAGAGTGTGGTCAGCCTCCAGCTGTAGCACCCAGGTATTTCGGGGTCGGCCGCGTGGTCGTTACCAACCAGGATCGGGCTTACGTGAAAGACCAAGATAACGTGAAAGGACACAATTGCGTGAAATTATCAAGGCGCACAAACAATCAATGCCATATCAGTTTATATGAGGGTGGGTCTCCAGTGCAGTCTACTGTGAATTTAAGCCATCTTTGTTAAGAAACCAATATGTGTGGGATTATTTAACTCGTCTGTTCAGTAGACGATACTTAATCTGGCTGTAGAAAATACCAGCACATCTTCGCTTCGGAATGGTCGACTTGCTTTGCCTGTCTTTAATGCTGGTAGGGTGTTTAACTTTCGCTTGCGTTTTGAACGAAACAGAAAAGGAAGATAAAAAAGAAAGAAAACAAATTACAAATAGACGGGTTGGTGTTACTGTAGTTCTGTAAATAACCTTGCTAAGATGCGTGTTTTTATGACAAAACATCACGTTATTGGCAATGAAAGCGTGCTTGAAAGACGGATGAGTACTTTGGTTTTATTTTCCTAGAAAAAAATACATAAAAATGTACATGAAAGTTAAATTTCGACAAAATATAATATTATTACTCGCTGAGTGAGACTGTTGAAACAGAAATTGTTGTTATTATACTTAAGGTAGTTTTGAAAATGTTACCAGGTGTCACTTTTATGTAAACAACGTTTTTTTTTCCAATTGTGTTTTTGTTTTTAGAATGTAGCTTTGAAAGTGCGCACATCATCCAAACCAATGCTAGTTGCGGTTTCTCAAAAAAAAAAAAAATCCCGATCACAACCGCCTTCCTTGAATCTTCGGAAAACCGGCTCTGATGTTACGTTATCAGGAATGTATATACAAAATCTAGCTTAGCCTGTACCTCATGAATATTATCATAATTAAACATAATAATACAGGCAGTCAACTCATATATTGACACGTCGCTACCGGGCTTGGTTTTAAGAGGCCGATCACAGAAGACTTGATTTATGTTTCTATGTATTTATTTATTTATTTATTTACGCTAAACATGTTCTCGTATCTCCTGTTGGTTTCTTTGTTCTCTTGCAACCGGAATTCATGAGTCGGGAACTCCACAATCGCAATGTAAGTATTCACCGTTGTCATTCCTAGCTCAGTAACGGTTTTTATAAAGAATCAGTAACGGTTTTTATAAAGAAGTAGTATAGCGCGAGACAAATGCACCCCAATTGGTGGTGCAAGTAGCTGCACTGGGTGCTGATAGTGCAGCCGGTTCATTCTGCCTTCTTGCGCCCTTGGTGTGTGTGCGTTTGTGAAAATGTGGTGAAACAAAACGGCAATAATGGAACATTGATTTGTTAAATGGAGCGAAAGCTTGATTCTGATTGGTTAAGTTAAATAATACGCTCGATGCTGATTGGTTTAGTTAAATAAAACTACTAAAATTGGGTTAAGATAATTTTTTTTTAAAAGACGGGGAGACTTTTTTCGCGGCTAGTGCGGGCACTTACGTAAATCAAAGACAGGTTGTATAAGCAATACGGGTAATGAACCTATTTACTCTTAGCAGGTTTGTGAAATTTTTAGAGGCGCGGTAACAGACACTGGACAACTGAAATCCAAACGCAGGAAACTTAAACTCGGCTTCCAAATAGTTTAAAATCAAATTCAAATGTGCTGCGCGTTCCAAAGTATTCTTTGAGTGAGGACAACTTTTCCACCTTATAAGGTACACTAGTTGCCTATTTTCATACCTGCTTCTGATTATGCGCTCAATTTCATATTATTTGTGTTTCCCTTAAATCTGTGGT